AGTGGTAAACGTCTGAGACCTGCATCACTTCGGGCTTTCCTCCCACATTAAGCTGACACGCTGTGATATAACTTGAATAATGTTAAAAGTGGCGTTAAACCCAACTCACTCACTCTAAAGTCCTTGGGCGCTATTACCTCTTAAACATCGATAATGAAAAACGTTATTTTATATGATGAAGTGATTGTTACCCTCGTATGTTTCCGTATAATTAATTTCATATATTATGAATAACAGGTATCTGCTACGCTCGTGAATGGCTCGAATAATACAATTGTTTATTCCTAGTATATATTTAGTCTACGTAATCACACTCAGCGAATAATCCCTATCCCAGGTAGGCCTGATGACAAAGATGACGCTGGGGGACTCTTTAACTTTGAGGGAGCATGGGTGGCCTAGTCGACTAAGGCGCTGCGATTCGCTGTGCAGAGTCGCGTCCCTTGGGCACGCCAGAAACCTATGATTGTGGGTTCGAATCCCGGTTTGCCCCGATTATGTTTCTAGGTTTGTCAGCACCATACCCGTGCTCGTGGGTTTCACCGAAGTGGTAAACGTCTGAGACCTGCATCACTTCGGGCTTTCCTCCCACATGAAGCTGACACGCCGCGATGTAACTGGAATAATGTTAAAAGCGACGTTAAACCCAACTCACTCACTCACTCACTTTAAACTTGAGACCTCCTCAGTTGATAGAGCCTCTTCTTGGGTAGGCGAAGGTCGATTGTTCGATCCCTGGCAGGGTCATACAGAGTTTTTTTTAAAATATGGTACTTGTTGTTTCCTTTCCTGGCGCTTGGCATTAAGGGGGTGAAACAAGGACAAGTCAGTGTCAGTATTGAGTGACATTGGCTACAGTGTCATCAACAAACAAGACGATGTTCTTATGAAATTTCGATTCCCGACATGGGTAAAATTTGTGCAGGTGGTCGACAGCGTTCTACCCCTCAGAGGGGAGACAGGTTTCTCCTTATTTCACTTCGTGACTGCCACCCTACCCAGAAATGACCTGCGGTACGCCTGTGGTGTTAACGTTTCTACTTCATCGGCTTAAGTGGCCAGCCTGGTTACTAGACCCCGACCCTATCGAACACACGTGGAACGAGCTGCAGATCGCCCTCTCACTACGCCCTGTCCTTCCGGCAACTCTACGGGAACCCAGCAATGTCTTACTGAAGAGGGGCGGTCGAGTAGCCTAGTGGTTAAAGCGTTCTCTCGTCACGCCGAAGGCCCGGGTTCGATTCCCGACATGGGTACAATGTGTGAAGCCCATTTGTGGTGTCCCCCGCCGTGATATTGCTGGAATATTGCTAAAAGCGGCGTAAAACCATACTCACTCACTCACTCGCTCTTACGAAATTGGGCATGTGGACTTTGACCTTGTTGTCATTGACGTAATTGGTTTGGGGCCGTTTTGACTTTTTTGGGCGTCGTCCCGTTTGCTAGGTCACAAGGGCGAGATAGCGGGGAACTACTTACTTTTTATTGAACTTGGCCTGCCCTATAAAAGGAGTCTCCTTTTTATCAAATATGGTTAACTATTGACTCGAACACGTGTCACTGAATAGAGACACATTCAGAGAATGTTTTATTTGTTGTTTAACACTGCAATTAGCAACATTCCAGCTATATGACGGCGGCCTGCAAACAATCCAATGATTGATAATGCGGTAATCGGTCATGTCGGTAGTCAAACGGCGATTTTGGATGTCATTAGCAAGTGTGTCAACTGGACATTTGAATATATCAAGACGTTTGTACCATTGATTTCAAATTGATAAGCGTGCATATCATACAAGAATGTCAGGGTCTGAATCTAGCTTCCTCCCCAACGACACTACAACGTCGGAGCCTCTACCTTCACGACGACATGTGTTGTTCTATATCGTCTTTGTCGTCTCTTTGACCGTCAGTGTTGATTTTGCTGTCACCGTCAGCATCAACATGCTGAAGCCAGGATCCTTTCACCAAAAGAACACGGACGCATACATTGATTCACACAACCATACATTGATGCACAACCATGCAGTGATACACACAGCCATACATAGATGCACACAAACATACAGTGATATATACAAAGATACAGTGATGCACAACCATGTCGCGATACACACAACCATACAGTGATACACACAACTATACAGTGATACACACAACCACACAGTGATACACACAACCACACAGTGATACACACAACCACACAGTGATACACACAACCATACAGTGATGCACAACCATGCAGTGATACACACAACCATACAGTGATGCACAACCATGCAGTGATACACACAGCCATACATAGATGCACACAACCATACAGTGATATATACAAAGATACAGTGATGCACAACCATACAGTGATGCACAACCATAGTGATTCACACAACCACACAGTGATGCTGACAACCATAGAGTGATACACACAAACACACAGTGATACACACAACCATACAGTGATGCACAACCATAGTGATTCACACAACCACACAGTGATGCTGACAACCATAGAGTGATACACACAACCACACAGTGATGCTGACAACCATAGAGTGATACACACAACCACACAGTGATACACACAACCATACAGTGATGCATAACCATAGTGATTCACACAACCACACAGTGATGCTGACGACCATACAGTGATACACACAACCACACAGTGATACACACAACCATACAGTGATGCACAACCATAGTGATTCACACAACCACACAGTGATGCTGACGACCATACAGTGATACACACAACCATACAGTGATGCACAACCATGCAGTGATACACACAGCCATACATAGATGCACACAACCATACAATGATATATACAAAGATACAGTGATGCACAACCATGTCGCGATACACACAACCATACAGTGATACACACAACTATACAGTGATACACACAACCACACAGTGATACACACAACCACACAGTGATACACACAACCACACAGTGATACACACAACCATACAGTGATGCACAACCATGCAGTGATGCTGACAACCATAGAGTGATACACACAACCACACAGTGATGCTGACAACCATAGAGTGATACACACAACCATACAGTGATGCACAACCATGCAGTGATACACACAGCCATACATAGATGCACACAACCATACAGTGATATATACAAAGATACAGTGATGCACAACCATACAGTGATGCACAACCATAGTGATTCACACAACCACACAGTGATGCTGACAACCATAGAGTGATACACACAAACACACAGTGATACACACAACCATACAGTGATGCACAACCATAGTGATTCACACAACCACACAGTGATGCTGACAACCATAGAGTGATACACACAACCACACAGTGATGCTGACAACCATAGAGTGATACACACAACCACACAGTGATACACACAACCATACAGTGATGCACAACCATAGTGATTCACACAACCACACAGTGATGCTGACGACCATACAGTGATACACACAACCACACAGTGATGCTGACAACCATAGAGTGATACACACAACCACACAGTGATGCTGACAACCATATAGTGATACACACAAGCACACAGTGATGCTGACAACCATAGAGTGATACACACAACCACACAGTGATGCTGACAACCATAGAGTGATACACACAACCACACAGTGATACACACAACCATACAGTGATGCACAACCATAGTGATTCACACAACCACACAGTGATGCTGACAACCATATAGTGATACACACAAGCACACAGTGATGCTGACAACCATAGAGTGATACACACAACCACACAGTGATGCACAACCATATAGTGATACACACAAGCACACAGTGATGCTGACAACCATAGAGTGATACACACAACCACACAGTGATGCTGACAACCATAGAGTGATACACACAAGCACACAGTGATGCTGACAACCATAGAGTGATACACACAACCACACAGTGATACACACAACCATACAGTGATGCACAACCATAGTGATTCACACAACCACACAGTGATGCTGACAACCATAGAGTGATACACACAACCACACAGTGATGCTGACAACCATAGAGTGATACACACAACCACACAGTGATGCTGACAACCATAGAGTGATACACACAACCACACAGTGATACACACAACCATACAGTGATGCACAACCATAGTGATTCACATAACCACACAGTGATGCTGACAACCATAGAGTGATACACACAACCACACAGTGATGCTGACAACCATAGAGTGATACACACAACCACACAGTGATGCTGACAACCATAGAGTGATACACACAAACACACAGTGATACACACAACCATACAGTGATGCACAACCATAGTGATTCACACAACCACACAATGATGCTGACAACCATAGAGTGATACACACAACCACACAGTAATGCTGACAACCATAGAGTGATACACACAACCACACAGTGATGCTGACAACAATATAGTGATACACACAACCACAAAGTGAGAGACACAACCACACAGTGATACACACAACCACAGAGTGAGACACACAACCACACAGTGATACACACAACCACAGAGTGAGACACACAACCACAGAGTGATGCTGACAACCACAGAGTGATACACACAACCGCGCAGTCATATACACAATCATACAGTGATACATACAAACACACTGTGATTGACACAACCATACAGTGATGCATATTACCACACAGTTATACACACAGTCAGTAAATAACATGAAAAGCCGCACATATTTGTTTTTATTTTGTTCATTTACTCATTCGCATGAGTTGCCTCATCATTGCATATATCGCAGCTTGACAAAAGAAGGAAAGTTCACATACATCGTGCATGCATCAAAACTCAGAATCGTTCAATTCTGCTGATTCATCATGATATATTCACTCTGTGCAGTCAAGTAAGCGCGTGTCATCGTGTGTGTCCTAGCAAGGTTACTATGTTATATCACCATATCTGTTAAAGTAAACAATGACAAGGCAATATGACGTAACTTGCAACAGTATATAAACGCTTGTTTCTGGTCGCTATAGGTAACAGAAGTAATTGTGTCTGATAATGAGGATGAAGACTTTCCTAGTGTGTCTTTTTGTGGTAGCGACATGTTTGCTAGTGGAGGCAGATGGGTTTCTCGTTTCACCGAATCAGGATGGTCCACCCTCAACTTATCCTGAACACTGGTTCCATCAGAAACTTGACCACTTCAACGTGGTTGATACTCGCTACTGGAAGCAGGTGAGCATGTTTCCTGGTCTTCTCTGCTATTTTGACAACATTTTCTTGAGCTACACAACGATTTCGCATTCATGGACAAGAAACGTATGATAAAGGTTGGTTTACGCTGCACTGCCATTCCTACCGACACGAATAAGAGCACTAATGGTTTTAATGTAGCTATCGTTGACGTGTACATTGCAGTACCGTAGTGTTGCATCTGAACGCAATATCTAATCACAAGGACATTTTACATTATGCATAAACATCTCGTGATGACCGTACACACAGAGCATGCCTACAGACGGCACACAGACAAGATTGTCTCAGTACATTAAATGGACTACGCATTTGATTCAAATCTACTCCTATCACCATTGGAGAATTTCGTATATTAACCGGAAGGTGAATTTCAACATGTACATCTTCCGTTGAGTACCGGCTCTATGAAAGCAAGACGAACTGGGATTTGTGTGACCTTAACAGGCGGCAAATACTTGGGTAGGCTAGGCCTCCAATTCACATTTGGAAGAAAACGTTGTTGGTGGAAGGGCGGTGGGATGGGGTGTTATCGCACATAACAGGAGAACTCATTTGGTTATTGTGAATGGACATGTGACTGTCCAGCGATGTGTTGACGAAATGTTGCATTCAGTTGTATTGACATTGAGCAAGAAATTGCGTTGATCCTATCATCCTGACCCAATAAACATTCAACAAAAGTCTTTGTAATGAGTAGTGGATGGACTTTTCACTTCTTTTGATGTCAATATTTCTCCATGCCGAGCTTAATCGTGCAAATAAAAGTCTTTGCATTTCTGTGTTTGTATATATGATTTCAGCGGTATTATATCAACGACAAGTTTTACAGAGCAGGCGGACCTGTGTTCCTGTTTATAGGCCCACAAACCGAACTGACTCCTGCTGTATTCACTGGGAATGGAGCTTGGTTAGAGTATGCCAAGACCTACCACGCCATCGGCTTTGCTGTAGAGCAGCGGTTTTATGGAAGTAGTCATCCAACACCGTAAGTGACATAATTGTACTGGTAGCTTTCTGGATGAACAAATGTGTTTTAAGACTTTCCAATTGTCCACTGTCAACCGTCACTTAAAGTCGAGAAATAACCCTCAGCTACAGCATCTGTCATTTCAAAATTGATGATATATACAACCCAGCTTGCTCTTTCCTTGAAGATTTCACACAGTTTTAAATGTAAGTTGTTTCATAAGGCTGTATTCAAGGTCTTTGTAAATATTTCCGAAGTTGTATTGTAGATATGCGGATGACGTTTCAACTTTGACGCATTTTTTTACCAAAAATATGTTCCCGTATTCGACTTGGCTTTGCATGTGTTCTTGATTGGTACAACCAGTGGGACAGGATACCTGATATCACCACTGTTTGATAGTTATTCAATTCAATTCTTTATTCATGTACATGTGTAGGCCAGCGGTCCATGGTACAATATTGGGTCCATCATTAACAGTTATAGGCTTAGTGTTTGGAGTCTAACATTCATAGCATGGTATATAAAAGTTGCAACATTTCTAATAACAGTTTCATTGTTTACCGCCATAAGCATATTGAATTTGGCAAGAGTAGGATGTACAAAATACTTCTGTGGTAAATACTGAAGACGAAGTTCATCATAAGCGTTACAAATTAATAAAAAATGATATTCATTCTCGACATATCTTTGGTTGCAACTATTGCACAATCTCTGCTCTCGTGGAGTATTAACGTATCTACCAGTCTCAATGTGGAGAGTGTGGGAGCTACAGCGAAACTGGGCTAGTGCAACACGAAATTTGTTTATAGTGATAGCAGACAAATACAACTCTAGACTAAATGAATTTTTGAAAAGTGTATAATGGAACATTTTAGAACTATTTGCTAAAGACCAATGCCAATCCTGTTCGTAAGCAAATTAAATAGTTATTCATGAAGACATGGTCATGATTTAATCGTGCAATGGACTCATGTTAGGCAGATATTGGTTTCATGATTTTCTGAAGAGTTTTGTCGCTTTTGTCCATGTGAACAGGTGATATAACATGTCAACGGCAGAGAATAGTCAATCACGATCATCTGCCGAAACAGATTCTATTGAGGGTAAACGGCAAATTAGTGGTGAACATTTTATGAATGGATCACAGAAAATTTGTGATGCCCTTAGGTGACCATATAGCTTTCTGTGTGTCTTGTGCGTGTCTCTTTGTGTGTGTTTGTGTGTGCGTGTGCTTTTGGGCGTGCGTGCGTGCGTTCGTTCGTGCGTACGTTCGTGCGTGTCTTTGTGTTTGGGCGAAGTGTTGGGATTGGGTTAAGCAGGGATGGGAGACGCAATTAGTTTTCGGACACAGATTCAAGACACATAATCATTCAGGGGTTAAACAACATCTTTTCTAACAATACAATCATGTTCTTCCAGTACATTCAGCTGGTTCACTGAATGTTGTAGGGGGCACGGGTGGCCCAGTCGTCTAAGGCGCCGCGATTCGCTATGCAGAGTTGCGTCCCTTGGACACGCCAGAAACCTATGATTGTGGGTTCGAATCCCGGTTCGCCCCGATTATGTTTCTTGGTTTGCTCGTGGGTTTCACCGAAGTGGTAAACGTCTGAGACCTGCATCACTTCGGGCTTTCCTCCCACATTAAGCTGACACGCCGTGATATAACTGGAATACTGTTAAAAGCGGCGTTAAACCCAACTCACTCTCTCACTGAATGTTGGATCATTTACTTCCTATTTGGCATTAACTATTCTCAAAATAATACATTGTATCACATCTTACACCATCAGAAACTTGAGTGTTGATAATCTACAATACCTGAGCGTTGAACAATCGTTGGTGGATCTTGCAACCTTCATCGTCGCGACAAACAAGGAACGCAATTTCACAAACGCGAAGTGGATCTCATTTGGTGGATCATATTCAGGTAATATGCTAGTTTGATGTAATGTGTTAGAGACACGTTACTCACGTCGTGAGAATGTCGGTTTAGGATAGGTCTTCAGCATCCCAAATGTGTCTAAACAGCGACCTAATGGATCGGGTGCCATGGTTTCGTTGGTTCAGACCTGATTACTCCTCGGCCACAATATGACAGGAGGAGCATTTCGGCGTCAAACAACATGTTACTCATCAAATGATTGTGAGGGACATGCATTAACAGTACTCGGACTGTGAGTGAGTGAGTGAGTTGGGTTTAACGCCGCTTTTAACAGTATTCCAGTTATATCACGGCGTGTCAGCTTAATGTGGGAGGAAAGCCCGAAGTGATGTAGGTCTCAGACGTTTACCACTTCGGTGAAACCCACGAGCACGGGTATGGTGCTGACAAACCTAGAAACATAATCTGGACGAACCGGGATTCGAACCCACAATCATAGGTTTCTGGCGTGTCCAAGGGACGCAACTCTGCACAGCGAATCGCGGCGCCTTAGACGACTGGGCCACCCGTGCCCCCTACTCGGACGGTGAACAAGCACAGGGTGTTTTGTACTGCAGTGGCAATAATCCAGACTTATAAACCGATTCATTGGGATCGCTATTAAGTAAGAGACTTCTTTCTATAGGCATTAAAACCTGTTGTGAGGTTTTACTTTCCAGTCGGGTTAAATCTCATAAACATGGACGTTGTAATGTCCCTGGGATTTTATATAATATCCCAGGGATTTTATTAATATAACTTCCGTTCATATTGTAACATGTAATGAAATGTAAAATCAAATGACAAATGTTTTCTTTATAGTCCCGAGGATCGAATTCGCAACCTTCATATCTGTAGCCGAGTGAGTGTACCACGAGGCTACAGAGGTGTTGATAAGCCTCAGTGGTTTTTAGAATGTCCTTTTCAAGATCCGTACGCCAGCAAGAGATATTTTACGCGCGTTTCCTAAGGTTCATGGAAAGTATGTTCGAAACATAAAAATGTTGATAAATGTTGTTTTAAGTTTCTTTTTTCGGTTTATAAGCATCGAAAAACACTTTCCCTCGGTTTTGGTAGACAGAGCATGCCCTGGGGGTCGGGAAAAACCGCCCCCTTGGATTTTCCCTCTCCCCAGGGCATGCTCTGTCTACCAAAACCTCGTGAGCGTGTTTTCTCCAATACATAACAAAGGAACCTGTAAATTCTAACCCTGGTCTTCACGAGGGTAACTCCTTTGGTCTGCCCAGAAGACAAAAAATATGGACCTAGTTTGCTCCACATTTGAAGTTTGATCTAAAAAAAGGATGTTCTGAGGTAGCACTCCCCTTTGGGAGTGCAAGGTTGGTCCAGTCGACTTAGGTGCCACAATTCGTTGGGTCATTCAGAAATCAATGGTCGTAGGTTGGAATACCTCTGTATATGTTTCTTTTTGTTTGTTTGTTTTGTCTGTTTGTTGTTTAACGCCGCACTCAGCAATATTCCAGCTATATGACGGCGGTCTGTAAATAATCGAGTCTGGACCAGACAATCCATTGATTGACAACATGAGCATCGATCCACGCAGTTGGGATACGATGACATGTATCAACCAAGTCAGCGAGCCTGACCACCCGATCCTGTTAATCGCCTCTATCGAGAAGCATGGGTTGCTGAAGACCTATTCTACCCCGGAATCTTCACGGGTCATATGACTAACGGCGATGGTTCGTAAAGGGCAATGAATTCTAATGAGGATCAGTTTATACTCGTACATTCACAAAGAGAAGTAGTTTTTTATGTTCAGTTGAATCGTAGGTATGATGTCAACGTGGTTGCGGTACAAGTTCCCCCATCTTGTTACTGGAGCTGTTGCAGACAGTCCCCCTCTCGCTGCTCCGGTGTTTGCAAAAGGTAACTATGTTTCTTCATTTGATTGGTCGTTTGTTTCTTATTTAACTCCTCAGTAGGCGATATTCCAGATATATGACGACGGCATGTACATACACGAATCTGGTAGAGACAATCCAGTGATTGAAATCATGACCAACGCCCCTCGCCATCTGGGTACAAGGACACGCAATCAATGAAGTCACCGAGCCTGACCATGTTGCCGGATGATGTTTGTTTGTTTCCTTGTTGTTTTACGCCGCACTCAGCAATATTCCAGCTATATGACGGCGGTCTGTATATAATGAAGACAATCCAGTAATTGACATCATGAGCATCGATCCACGCAGTTGGAATACAATGAAATTCATCAACCAGGTCAGCAAGCCTGGCCACCCGATCCCGCATCTTTCGACAAGCAGAGTCGCCTTTTTAATGGGTTGCTGAAGACCTAATCTTGCCGTAAAAGGCGACTATGGTTGTCGTAATGGGGCTGAATGCGGCGTAAATAAGAAAAAAGAGAACCTTATCTCCTATAAACATTTGCACTTACCATATGTATCATCTCTGATTATAGAAGACACCGGCAGCTCCCTAGAAGTTAATTATCCCCCGCCCCAACGAAGTTGGCGGGGGATATAGAAATGGGTTCCGTCCGTGTGTGCGTGTGTGCGTGTGTGCGTCCCGAAATCGTTTCCGGAGCATAACTCAGAAACCGTTAAATATTTCTCTACGACACTTTGCATGTCTATCAGACTAATGCTGAACTGGTGCCTTTTGCTATTTAGGAATTTTATAAATTTTTATTTTTTACGTTTCCATGGCAACAAGTTGGACTTAGGTTCTATGGGGTAGAGTTTGTTTCCGGAGCATAACTCAAAACCCATTCAATACTTTCCAACAAAAACTTTGCATGTCTACTAGGCACATACTGAACTGGTGCCTTTTGCTATTTAGGAATTTTAGAAATTTTTATCTTTCACGTTTCCATGGCAATAAGTTGGACTTAGGTTCTACGGGGTGGTGTTCGTTTCCAGAGCGTAACTAAAAAACCGTTAAAAACTTTCTTACAAAACTTTACATGTCTACAAGGCACATACTGAACCGGTGCCTTTTGATATAAAGCACTTTTAGAAATTTTTATTGTTTGTTTCCATGACAACAAGTTAGATTTAAGTTTTAATATAGGATTGGTTTACTTAAGGAGTATAACAAATATACTGTTAAATATTTCCTTGCCAAACATTGCATGTCTATATATAAAGCGCATACTGAACCAGTGCCATTTGATATTATGGAGTTTTAGAAATGTTTATTTTAGAATTTCCATTGCAGCTATTTTGACATGGGCTAAGAGAAATGTTGGGTCAGTTACCTGGTTTGGGACCATAACATGTTAAAATGGGCGGGGGATATAGATGACTTTGTCAACTATACGCTTGTTTGTTTTTAAATATTACAGCTATGTAACCCGGCGGCCTGTAGGTGGTAACAATGTAGTGCCCAGAAAATATAGTTATTGATAGTACGAGCAAATATCCACACTATTGGGTTACGATGACATGCATCAACGAAGTCATTGACCACCCGGTCCAATTAGACGCCAATTGCGACCTGCATAGGTTGCTGGGATCTATTCTATAGTGACGGGGCACATCCGGTGAAAATAGAAGTTCAAAGTGGGTTTGCGTAGAATGAAGAATTCTGTTATCATCACGCCCAAATATCTTTTGTCAACGATTTCAGAGTATAGTATTGCTATCGGAGAGGATCTCCGCACAGAGTCAGGATGCTATGAGGCTACATCTGCTATTTTTGATGACATAAGGGCTAGTCTGAAGACTGAGGCTGGTGTCAGGAAACTGCAGTCGCTCTTCAGGTGAGCTGATGTCCTCATTGAGGCACGCACACGTTACTACTTGCGACATCATTGAGATCGGATTCTATTGAGGGATTTTCATTTAAATACGGGAAAATATTTCAGAAGCTTGTTCAGCTTAGCACCATCCTTAAAGAGGCTGTACATATTGTTGATATCTCAACCTCACGGTTCATTCTCCCTGCAGTGTTTTATTGTCCAATAAACAACGACTATTTCTTTAGTAAGTACTCCTGTCTGACCAGGGAAAATATTCTAGTCCTGCATCATGACCTTGGAATATATATTTTTTTAATGAAAATATAATAATCTAGAAATGTATACAAAAGCAGGTCTAGCCAGCTCAAGCTAGCTCTATCCACTCTGAAATCAGCATTGGGATTTTTAATATATTTTTAGAGTCAAGAAGGATATTGTGTGATATAAGATTTCAGAGACTAAATGTTAGTCAACCATGACTGATACACAGAAGAATCGTGTGTGTTTGTGTGTGTCTGTCTGTATATCTGTTAGTGTGTTGTTTAACGCCTCTCTCAGCGATGTCCTAGCTAGATGACGTGGGTCTCTTTATAAGTTGACTCGGGACCGGACAATCCAGTGAACGATATTGTGAGCAACATTCACACTGTCACGTTCTGACCACCTGATCCACAAAGGCTTCTCTTACGACCAGCGTAGGTTTTAAAAGGAAAGAAATATTGCTGGGGATGAATTCTAACAAGACTCTAATATTGTCGGTACCGCTACAATGGCGTCACAGACGCTACAACCTCATGTATTAGTTCCATGAGTGGGCACGGGTGGCCCAGTCGTCTAAGGCGCCGCGATTCGCTGTGCAGAGTTGCGTCCCTTGGGCACGCCGCTAACCTATGATTGTGGGTTCGAATCCCGGTTCGCCCCGATTATGTTTCTATGTTTGTCAGCACCATACCCGTGCTCGTGGGTTTCACCGAAGTGGTAAACGTCTGAGACCTGCATCACTTCGGGCTTTCCTCACACATTAAGCTGACACGCCGCGATATAACTGGAATATTGTTAAAAACGGCGTTAAACCCAACACACTCACTCACTCACTCACTAGTTCCATGAACTAACAATGTTAATTATGGATAGTATGAATATGCATGAATACGTGCATGTGGTGATGGCATATTGCTTATACTACAGGTTGTGTGACTTCGATGCTTCAAACAAACTGGACGTAGAAAATATGATGATGTACCTGCGTGATCTGATTGGCTGGTCAGCAATGTTCAACACGGACGCTAACGTCATGGTACGTGGTTAAAAAACTTTATCTGTCATTAGATTAACGTGGTTTAAAACTGTACCCTACGCTTCTCCCGAAAATACTAAATGCTCAGACCCGTGAAGATTCCGGGGTAGAATAGGTCTTCAGCAACCCATGATTGCCGTAAAAGGCGACTATGCTGGTCGTAAGAGGCGACTAACGGGATCGGGTGGTCAGGCTCGCTGACTTGGTTGATGCATGTCATCCATCCCAATTGCGGGGATCGATGCTCATGATATCAGTCACTGGATTGTCTGGTCCAGACTCGATTATTTATTCAGACTCGTCATATAGCTGGAACATTGCTGAGTGCGGCGTTAAACAACAAACAAACAAACAAACAAAAAACTAAAATGCTCAATTTAATAGAATACAGTATATAATACTGTCACTCTTATCTTGTTGGGTAGACCATGCTTTAAAGCGTTCGTTTGACACGCCCTGTCCGAGGTTGATTCCCTTTATGTGTAAACGTGTATGTAAAAGTCCATACCTAAAAGTGTCGTTATATCCTACAGTCAAGTTTTCTTTTTCCAGAATGTAATTTGAATGGGTGGCCTTTTTAAGAAGAAGTCATTTAATTACTTTTTTTTCATTCAGAGTCCAGTGCCAATACGATACGTGTCTTCAGTGTGTAAAGTGCTCACTGACAAAACTATAGGGACGCCGCTAGAACGATTGGCACGCTTTGGTGAGGTCATTTATCACAATTATACAGCCATGAACGGTCAATGTCGAAACATGACATTTGAGGCGAGATTGAACTTGGGCAGAGATGTGAAATACGGCAACAGCAATGTATTGTCAGGTATTGTCGGTTTTCTATCATATCTTAGGTTCAATAATGTAAAATGAATTCAATGATTAAGAGTGAGTGAGTGATTGAATATGGTGTTATGCCGCTGTTTGTAATACTCAACAGAAGGTTGGGGCGGCTAGGACCAATAGCTACCCGCCACCCCATATAGGTATCCGAAAACATACATGATAATAAAGCAGTCCGCTGAGATCACTCATCTTCCCGAAGCAAGAGAGTTAACTGACTTTAAAAGTCCAGTTTCCGCCCTTGCCGAACTAGGCTGGAATTCCTGGGCTCGATCGTAGCGCCACCAGTGGCTATTACGAGTTATGTCCATTCTATGCCTCTCCCATATGGACCAATCAGATTCCACTTCTCGTATCACATGCATTTGCTTCAAACAAAATGGTGGCGCCCAGTCAAGACGATCTGATCTACCATCAAGATCTATTTAGTGATAAAACGGTTCTTACTTCGCGAAGTACATCAAATCACGTGAGCACCTTGATTAAAACATGAAAAGATTTGGAAAGTGTCTGTTGACAAGGAGTTGGCGATGCACATGCTTTGCAAATCCTGTAATCGACCGAAATCTGAATGACACTTTACGAACCGGATTTCGATTTCGGTGCGCGATTTTGATTGGACTATGCATAGACTCGTTAGTCCAGCCAAAATCTAACTCCATAATCCCAGCCTAGTTCGGCAAGGGTGGAAACTGGACTTTTATAGTCAGTTAGGTCTCTTGCCTCGGGAAGATGAGATCACTTGGATAGCCCAGTTCAGATTATTATGACCTCATGATCTATTATTTTTTCAAGTCCTATTTAAAAAGTCTAATGTGGTTCACCCTGCGAGACCTGTTTTCATTCATGTGTTCCTCTTGACGAACAGAGGCAGATTATGTTCGCAACCATTTCTAACATTGTGGGTGACAATAAAACCGATCTAAATCTACGTTGAAAAGGGAATGCGGATCGTCCCGAATGCTTGAGAAAGCATTGTTCCCTCCGCACAAACATAACTCTATAGTAAAAGTCAACGATTTGTTTTAAAGCAAAATATCCATTTTTGTAGTGGTATATTCTCAATCGATTAGCCATCCATTCGTGTAGCATATCCCATTGTAAAGTAATTACATTCAAGTACGGTTATAACGAACTCAAAAGGGACTACTAATTTTAGTTCGTTATAACCGTAGTTCGTTATAAGCATATATACAGTATAACAACAGCAAATAGTCGAGACCAAAAAAGAAGGTTCGTTATATCCGTCAGTTCGTTATAAGCGTGTTCGTTATAACCGTAGTTTACTGTATTGTTATTATGTTTAGAAGAGGACTTTCGAAGATATGTGAAGTAACTATGAACATATCTAGTCGAGAGACAAGGTAGGATAAGGGCCCTTGTTTGTCGACGGGAAATGTAAAAGTTAAATTTGTGGAAAACATTGAAATAAAGATCTGAAATGTATCTGACACTCCAATGGCTTACAAGTGGCCTATCTTTTCTTTCTTTCTTGCAAACTGGGGACTTCTCACATGATGAAATACATGAGTATTGCTAACATGAGTGCAAAAGGCCGACCTCCGGAAACCCTCCAACTTTAAATCCATCCTCGAAACATTCCGGAAACCTCCCCCCAAATATGTCAAGATTTTGGAAGTGCATTCTGTATTAAGTATGAAACTCATAAAACGTGGGAAGGTTTTCAACGTTATCAAATAAATCAGTGTTGTATCAATATTGATGAGTAGAATATAAGCACGTGAATACATTGTGTTGTACTTTGGTATTTTTTATAGAATATTATGTAAGACAATGTTGTTATATATGAGTGTTCAAGGAAAGATGTTCAGATATGCATCCATTGGCCCGTTCTTCCATCATGGCCTAAGCCATTCATCACTTTGCAGCACGTCAGTGGATGTATCAAAAGTGCACTCACATGGGTTTGTTCACCCCTTCGTCTGGAAGCAATCAGCCCTTCGGAGAAGCTGTGAGTGAAGAGTAAGTGCTAGTCCTGCACCATGACCGTGGAATATATTTATTTTATGAAAAAATAATAATCTAGAAATGCATACAAAAGCAAGTCTAGCCAGCTCAAGCTAGCTCTATTCTGAAATCAGCATAGGGAAATTTTTTATTTTTAGAGTCAAGAAGGATATTGTGTAATATAAGATTTCAGAGACTAAATGTTAGTCTAAGTAAGTGCCAACATGGTGGGATCTCATATCGCACATGTCAAATCAACTTCTAATACTTCTAACAATCTGCAAGTTTGGGATTTGTGGCCAGAACAGATACCAAGAACCAGACGTTTGTTCTTGAGAGTTCACGATAATGGGGATTATACATATACGGGGATATAAACAACAAACAGAAAAATACTGATATATTGCTGACTGGGGCATAATAAAAAGCTCACTGAATGTGTCTGCGCTAACAACAATTTGATGTTAAAAAGGTTAACGTTAATGGTGTGAATCCTCCCTTTCCAGGTATTTTCTCAAAATCTGTGAAGGCTACTTCGGCCCATCATTCAACAGATCTTTGATCATGAAAGGACATGACGAATTAATTACAAACTATGGCGGACTTGATATTAAGGTTACCAACATCATCCACACCCAAGGATCCTTTGATCCGTGGACCAAGTATGGATTTACCCAAGACCCGCACCCAGAAGCCTATGTAATATTAATCAATGGTAAGTTTTAGTCGTCGGTGATGGAGTAACATATTACAAACATTTTTTTTTGTCAGTAAACTATACATCTGAAAAAAAAGTTAAGCACGTCTTCATGTTTCCAGAATTTCGGCAATCGAACATTGATGTAATTTTGATAACTAGCTGAAATACCGCCGATAACCGCTGATAAAGTGATACAAGACCATTGTATGTTCCTCCAAATGGACGCATGCACGGAGTCATATGAGACTCCAAATGGTCGCAGGCACGGAGTCATATGAGACTCCTACTGGACACAGACACGGGGTCATATGAGACTCTCACTGAATGGTAGCAGGCACGGAGTCATATGAGACTCCCACTGAATGGTAGCACGGGGTCATATGAGACTCCAAATGGTCGCGGGCACAGAGTCATATGAGACTCCCACTGAATGGTAGCACGGAGTCATATGAGACTCCCACTGGACGCAGACACTGAGTCATATGAGACTCCCACTGAATGGTAGCACGGGGTCATATGAGACTCCCACTGGACGCAGACACTGAGTCATATGAGACTCCCACTGGACGCAGACACTGAGTCATATGAGACTCCAAATGGTCGCAGGCGCAGAGTCATATGAGACTCCCACTGAATGGAAGCACGGAGTCATATGAGACTCCCACTGAATGGAAGCACGGAGTCATATGAGACTCCAAATGGTCGCAGGCACAGAGTCATATGAGACTCCCACTGAATGGTAGCACGGAGTCATATGAGACTCCCACTGAATGGTAGCACGGAGTCATATGAGACTCTCAATGAATGGTAGCACGGGGTCATATGAGACTCCCACTGAATGGTAGCACGGGGTCATATGAGACTCCAAATGGTCGCAGGCACAGAGTCATATGAGACTCCCACTGAATGGTAGCACGGAGTCATATGAGACTCCCACTGAATGGTAGCACGGAGTCATATGAGACTCCCACTGAATGGTAGCACGGGGTCATATGAGACTCCAAATGGTCGCGGGCACAGAGTCATATGAGACTCCCACTGAATGGTAGCACGGAGTCATATGAGACTCCCACTGGACGCAGACACTGAGTCATATGAGACTCCCACTGAATGGTAGCACGGGGTCATATGAGACTCCCACTGGACGCAGACACTGAGTCATATGAGACTCCCACTGGACGCAGACACTGAGTCATATGAGACTCCAAATGGACGCATGCACGGAGTCATATGAGACTCCCTCTGGACGCAGACACTGAGTCATATGAGACTCCCACTGAATGGAAGCACGGAGTCATATGAGACTCTCAATGGACGCAGGCACGGAGTCATATGAGACTCCCACTGAATGGAAGCTCGGAGTCATATGAGACTCCCACTGAATGGAAGCACGGAGTCATATGAGACTCTCAATGGACGCAGGCACGGAGTCATATGAGACTCCCACTGAATGGTAGCACGGAGTCATATGAGACTCTCAGTGGACGCAGACACTGAGTCATATGAGACTCTCACTGAATGAAAGCACGGAGTCATATGAGACTCCCACTGAATGGAAGCTCGGAGTCATATGAGACTCCCACTGAATGAGAAGCAGAGGGAGCAGTTGCCATTGAGGCAAAATAAATTTTAATATTGACATTGAACACTTGCTAAACATATAATCATATAACAAATTTTGTATTCAAATACGACTTTTCTGCTTTGCGTTAGACACATATTACAGGATACGATTTCAACATTGGCTATATAATATAAATATATAGTAAGTGATGCTTAACTGGGTTCTAACTGTACAGAATACCTCCCCGGATGCCTTAGTGATTGACAGGCTGTGCTCATCTTTCGGCGAGCACCTGGAGTCATAACTGATTTTAAGTGACCCATTTACATACTTAACTTTCAACATTATTTTTCCTTTTACGCCAACTTGAGACTACTTATTCTCTAGCGTTTAAATTTTATATTTTATTCTAAAAAAAGATATGAAAAAAGGAACTTTCAATGACCAATTTATTTGGGCTGCCTGAATTAACGAGTACTACAGAACAAAGACTAAACGCCGATACATAGACATGTAACTCATGATAGACAACAAAGTCTCTTACAAACATAACAACCCTTGTGAAGTTTTTAATAATAAATATAAAATGACAATAGGTCAGTAAGGAAAAATCAGAAACTTCTTGTTTCAGGTGCTAAAGTATTACAACACGAATTACATGTTACATGAATAGTATTTTTACATGGACCTTATACTGTGAAGAGTTTTTAATAAATAAATATCAGAAACCATGTTGATAGTTTAAATATGAGTTGAAGAAAGAGACTCGTGTATTTGGTGTAATCGCGTGTCTTGTAGGAGGTGGCCACACCCCGGACATGGCAGTTCCTTCCTCCGTGGAAAGTGCTGACGTCACATTGGCCAGGGCAAAGATCCAACGACTGATCGGCCAGTGGATAGCGTCTGGACCCACAGTCAGCATAGTGGGATGAAGCGGACATCTTTGCACTGATTTGCTCATTACTTTCGACGTATTATTCATGCTCATTACTTACATTTGTTACTGAATTAATTTCTGTCCAATCGTCAACATGGAAGACTCTTTGTTTATGTTATATGACCATCCTAACACACACACACACACACACACACACACACACACACACACACACACACACACACACACACACACACACACACACACACACACACACACACACCGACACAGGGACTATTAATTTTAGTTCGTTATAACCGTAGTTCGTTATAAGCATATATACAGCATAATACAGCTAATTATCGGGACCAAAAAAGTAGTTCGTTATATCCGTCAGTTCGTTATAAGCGTGTTCGTTATAACCGTAGTTTACTGTATATATATGTATATATTGAAAATGTCCAAATACAATCAACATAGAATGCAATGTCTATGATATTTGACCATCTTAATATTTTTGTGGAGAATATACAATAAAATAAAATGCATTTTTCAAAGAGAATATTGAGATTCATTTCCACATGCACCTGGTAGCCAAAGTTTATGTCCGCTATGTCCGGACAGTTTATGTCCGCTGATAGTTGGTCCAAATCCCGTATTTACACTAAGAAGGATCCTTCACTTGTCTGCGACCTAAATAACGTTTGACCTTCCTAGAATAAGCAAAATAACGTGATACAACTGAATCCTGTAATTCTTATGGCATGCACTAATTCATTCAGTGAAACAGTAGCATACTACCAGAGGGGCATATGTATATTCACACAGCGGTACATACACGCTACCAGCGGTGACTGCTATAGAGTTTCAGGTACAGGCACTTGTGCGTGCACGCACACTGTCGTAACTACAGTCTTATAGCAGTACACGCATGTAAACTGTGGAGTGAGTGAGTGAGTGAGTGAGTTGGGTTTAACGCCGCTTTTAACAATATTCCAGTTATATCACGGCGTGTCAGCTTAATGTGGGAGGAAAGCCCGAAGTGATGCAGGTCTCTGACGTTTACCACTTCGAGCACGGGTATGGTGCTGACAAACCTAGAAACATAATCGGGGCGAACCGGGATTCGAACTCACAATCATAGATGTCTGGCGTGCCGAAGGGACGCAACTCTGCACAGCGAATCGCGGCCCCTTAGACGACTGGGCCACCCGTGCCCCCCTACAGTTAAGAAACAAGTAACAGAAACAATACGTTTATACATTAGGGTTTGTCTTCCTTTGCACTCCATTTCATGGATATGTTAAATATCTCAGATGCAGAAATTGTTTCGTCACTGTAGCACATCTCGAAATGAAGTCAACAGTTAAAATGTCTACAAAAACATCCACTTCTCCTCAGGGGCTGACAATTTGACATTGGGCAATGGAAACAGACTGAGATTTTGTAATCAAAACTTGGAGTCTAAATATAAATAGTTTTAAGAACACCTTGCAGCAATGTCATCATTTTAACAGACAAATTCTTTATACTAAGCAGTCTGAAGTATAACTGTTTTTTTCAAGCATTTTCTGGAACAATAGTTTTTGGTCAGATAGAATGTCTTAGTATTGTCTGCATACATACGGAGAAAAAATAAACTGTTATGGAACAAGCAATACCGTTTCAACCAAATGCAGTAATGTATTAAATTAATGTAATATGTCATATTGTAAAACAATCAAACACACTGCTCAATTCACACAAGGTTTCAACTATATATGAGCCTAATACGCCTTACCTCTGTGTTGACCTTCCAGAGTTAGGTGCTTTTCTAAAACTACAACTTCTATGTCCTCAGTTACATGTCTTTAGTAACATATGTCCTTTGTTATCGTCAACAGCAACGAAGTTGTATGCGCCATCATGATGACTAGAAGAAAATAAAAAATGTGCCATTTCCCATTATATATCACATGCTATTTCATTACGGTTGAGACCGCATCCGTGGTCTAGTGATAGAGGGTCCGCCCGGAGAGCGGAAGGTCCGGGGTTCGATCCCCGATCGCGTCATACCAAAAGACGTTAAAAGATGGTACTTTTTGTTACCCTGTCTAGCGCTCGGCATTAAGGGGCTAAAACAAGGACTTGTCTGCTCGGAGTCAGTATACTGTGTCTGAGTGGGGTATTCATGTTAAACTGCGGCATGGTATCTCAGTGAGCTAGCACTATAAATCGGCATCAGTCCCGACTAGTACAAGCAGCCACACAAACACACACACGTACATGCACGTAGCTATATAAGTGCAATAATCTTGGACGCGACGTTAAACCCCACTCACCTCACCTCACCTCATTGCGGTTGATGAAATATGTTTCTTAAAAATGTGTTCACAATATAAACTAAATAGAATATATACCCATGTGACCCAGATGATGATGTTTAGGCGACGAGCACAAACTTGATGAGATGACGTGACTCGGACTCTGAGTTGGAGATGACATGTTCCTAGAGACCAAGACTGGCGAATGTAATTATAAGGGCATGATCCTAGAGACCAAGACTGGCGAATGTAATTATAAGGGCATGTTCCTAGAGACCAAGACTGGCGAATGTAATTATAAGGGCATGCTCCTAGAGACCAAGACTGGCGAATGTAATTATAAGGGCATGATCCTAGAGACCAAGACTGGCGAATGTAATTATAAGGGCATGTTCCTAGAGACCAAGACTGGCGAATGTAATTATAAGGGCATGCTCCTAGAGACCAAGACTGGCGAATGTAATTATAAGGGCATGGTCCTAGAGACCGAGACTGGCGAATGTAATTATAAGGGCATGTTCCTAGAGACCAAGACTGGCGAATGTAATTATAAGGGCATGTTCCTAGAGACCGAGACTGGCAAATGTAATTATAAGGGCATGTTCCTAGAGACCAAGACTGGCGAATGTAATTATAAGGGCATGTTCCTAGAGACCGAGACTGGCAAATGTAATTATAAGGGCATGTTCCTAGAGACCAAGACTGGCGAATGTAATTATAAGGGCATGTTCCTAGAGACCAAGACTGGCAAATGTAATTATAAGGGCATGTTCCTAGAGACCAAGACTGGCGAATGTAATTATAAGGGCATGTTCCTAGAGACCAAGACTGGCGAATGTAATTATAAGGGCATGGTCCTAGAGACCAAGACTGGCGAATGTAATTATAAGGGCATGGTCACAATATCAAATGTCACTATTCTAAATATCACCAAAGAACAGAACATGGATGTTTCGAGGCACATGGACATTCATATGGGAACAAGATGATAAATTTTAGTTTTAATTACAAGGTAAAGTTTGAGTTGAAAATGTTTGAGGACGGTGAACGACGGAAAACGAGACAAAGGCACTTTCAGTCAGGTCACCAAGAACTGCGTTCAGAGAAATTGAATAGAAAATATGTTGACTATTAACAGTTCTTGCTAATTTTTTACTTGGTACGGCTGATGAAACAATAACATCCACTGGTCACACAACCTAATCATTCGTTTCCTTGAATAATGGAATAACAGGACACAGGACCTCAATAGACTTTTTATTACATCAGATTATGTGACACGTTCTTGAATGTCGCCACAGCTATGTAGTTAATCTGAAAGGAAACAAGTTTGGATGATATGTATTTCTGATATCACATCAATATACATTTACAGGACAGCTTTGTGTGTGGCCTCATTTACATGATTCAAATGTTTGTACAAAGAACAATATTAGTGACGGGTTGTTTACAATTCCTACCTTTGGAGAGTTTTCCACGAACCTCAACTTCGCAGACTGTGAGAATTTCTTTTCTTGGTGGTATGTACTGCAACAACACAAATCGACCCGTTGTCGAAGGTTTGCAGGTTAGAACATCAGGTCTTGATAGTTGTCCTTTCTTTTGTGCACATGTCATCGGCTGAGAACTGTTGTTCTCCATGGGGTTTTCTTTAAAAACTAGGATTTCCAGGTCACGGAATCTGGAAGCTGATATAGAAATACAATATTATATCATTATCAATATCAGGAACTAATACATAAAGGTCAAAACAAGATCAGGGGCGGTCGGGTAGCCTAGTGGTTAAAGTTTTTGCTCGTCACACCGAAGAACCGGGTTCGATTCCCGACATGGGTACAATGTGTGAAGCCCATTTCTGGTGTCCCCCGCCGTGATATTGCTGGAATATTGATAAAGACGGCGTAAAACCATACTCACTCACTCACTCACTCAAAACAAGATCAAAGTTGACTATTGCACGAAAAGAAACGAAACGTGTGTTGCATGCGACTACTAATTGATAATTAATAGGCTTTCGAATAATAGCAGTTCTGGCGGAAATATTGAAAATCAGATTAAAACCACTTGATTTATTCTGCATGTAACGTTTCCTATAGCATGTTACATAAATATAAATAGGGGGCACGGGTGGCCCAGTCGTCTAAGGCGCCCGATTCGCTGTGCAGAGTTGCGTCCCTTGGGCACGCCAGAAACCTATGATTGTGGGTTCGAATCCCGGTTCGCCCCGATTATGTTTCTATGTTTGTCAGCACCATGGAAGAGGTAAACGTCTGAGACCTGAATCACTACGGGCTTTCCTCCCACATTAAGCTGACACGCCGCGATATAACTGGAATACTGTTAAAAGCGGCGTTAAACCCAACTCACACACACACACACACACACACACACACACACACACACACACACACACACACACACACACACACACACACACACACACACACACACATAAATAGGTGTTTATTTCAAGAACATACCGCAACCGTCCGTCCGTCTGTAAAGGGTGACGTTATGTACATCATAGATATCCACCAAGTCAACCATCCACCAAGGTCTCAACACAGATTGAGCGGAAGTAAAACATTGACCTCCTCTGCGATTGCCGCCCTTGTCACCATCAACCACGTGATTAGGATCTGAATACTTGTCATAGTTTGTACATCCGTATGCTGGTTTTCTTAAGGCCAGATTGCCTACGTCTTTGTGACAAAATACATAATATATAATTAAAACAGTGCTTACAAGAGGCATGGCATCTTACAAAAACAAAGCTTACACGCAAGTTGTTTCAGTTTGACCGAGTGGGTTTTGCTTGACGTGCCTGTAAACATTATTACAGTATTACACAGGGTATCAGTTTGACTTGGGTTGAACGTGATGCATGGCGTATGTCTGAGACAATTACCTCAGTGGTGAATCTATGAGCAGCCATACGTTGCCGATAAACCGGGTACACAATCAGGCCGAGTATGGAATCCAACCTCATGATCTGCGGTCTGCGGTACGCCTATAATCGCAAGTTTACTGACAACTGCCTCCCCCGATCTCTATCCCCCCCCCCCCCCCCCCCCCCAGCAACCCCACCCCCACCCCACCCCAAACACACACTCAAAGATACAAGAAATATTTTCGTTCAGAACAATCAGCTTCAGCAAACGAATTTTACCTATTTTCAGAGCCTTCATGGCTCTGTTGTCAACCTTAGAGGAGATGTCTTGAAGCTTTGTCTCGGTATCTTTTTGTCGCAACCCAACGGACGTCAGCTCTGACTTCATCTCAGAGACTGAAGGGGAATAGATGCTATGAGTTGATGCACCACGTTCTTATGTGAAACATAATGATGGTTCTGTCCTGCTATGTTCAGTTAAGTTATTACGTATTTTAGAATTAAGCCTGTCAAAACGATACGCCATAGCACTGAGTCGTGGACAACTGAACATTTTTATTGACATAGGGCCCAAACATTTGCAGATATAAACTTTTATGCATTTAAAGTTGACATATTCCAGAATGAAAGATGGGACATGTTTCTACACATAAAGAACAGAGAAGAATGTAAACAGCATTTAGAAAAAAAACACATGCATGTTGTTATTTTTAAAATAAATGTCATTTATTCTTTTTTCAGAACTGTTATAGTGCAAACCATTTCAATACTTTTACTTAAATAGTGCAAACCATTTCAATACTTTTTTAACATTTCATTTGTCTAAATACCTAACAGGTTCAATATGTTTCCAAGTGCACCGAAATTCTATGCCCTTTGTTTAATATATTCAGCAAACATTCGACGTATCCCCTCTTATCATAAGCCCCTCCGGGCAGGACCCTTAATCTCCAGGGCTATCTATAAATTTCAATTAACACCTCCTAACGTCGCCGGATCTTACGTCTATACATACACGTGGGACAATGACCTTGCCACACGTTATGTAATACCTCGCTCTACAAAACCCGACTGACATGGTCAGTCAGGGAGACAGCCTAGAGAAGAGCCAGAAGGTAAGTGACAGAACGGTTCTCCCACCCGGGAACATTGGCCACTAGGTCCCGGTGTGCGTTCTGTCACGTTATTATCAACATGTACCTTTTCGACTCATTTCAACCATCAACAATAAATATGGCTGCTGTCGTCTAAACTTCACCCCTGAGTTTTGTCCTCCGTCATCACCCTGAGCTACCATCCGAGGGCCGAAATCTACGCCCTTGGACAGAACTTTAACCCAAATAGAATTGACGGATAATCAAGACTTGTATTCTCTTGCATTGCCATTTTATTCTGTATACCCTAATACATTCTTCCACAATAGAAGGTTGTTCTTATCAAGTATGATACATGAGAAGATATGGAAAATCTCATCTTTCTTTCGACATGAAATATATCAACACGAGTAGATAAAAAATTGTAATCGATTGGTGTTGGTAAATTTCATATCAAAAGAAACATGTCAGATCATACAAAAATCATTCTTCAAACTATTTGGTTTGTAAACTAAAACAACCAGTGTGCTGCTAAACAACTTCAGTGGCAGAGAGATCAGTGATGTCATTTAATTGTGACAAAATGGTAGCTTAGTCTCAATAGTCTCAAAACAGTGTGATGCAATTTTATTGTAGCAATATCAACGTTTTGGGGACATTGAGCTCGAAAGTGGACGAATTACACTTCTAAACACATTTCATCCACATTTCAAGTTACAAAAATAGGCGAAGTAAGAAACATTGGCATAATATGGTCGACAAAAAAGGACGAAAATAGGTGTTTTGTGATCTGTAGTTCTGTTATAAGATTGCGTGATCAACATCCGTACCTGCTTTTCCTCCACCATTTCCTTCCATGTGATGTATTTTCTCCATGAGCTTGTCAACTGTTTTTTGTACCGCCTCCACTTTACCTCACAAAGCAATGATATAAATACAACTGTTAATATGATCTGCATTGAAAGGCCCAAACGTGTAAAAGTGACACAAACACTGAATCGACGTTAATTTAATCTTTGTGGTTCGAAACATTAAACAAATTCAGGATAAACATTTATCCATTTTTCTGTGTATCTCACTAAATGATACAGAAGGGGACTCCATAGGGAGTCGCGACACGTGAACTTTGATTCGCAAATCAGAGTGACGGCTTCTAAATTATCAAATACGAACGAGCAAAACAGATTATGCCGTATAAACGTCAATGGTACATCAGCGTTGAGAATATATTACAGCGGAATAACACCCGAGCGTTTCTCTGCAACAAAAATGTTATATACTAGGTTTGTTTTGTTGGGGTTTCCTCTTCTTTAGATCGCAATTCCCAAAACGAACCCGAAGCATCCTTCAAAATTTAAAATTAGAGTAACAGCTTTACTTGCAAAGACCGGTGAGAAATATTTTCATATAGTCAATGCTACAAGAGAATTGTAAATGGCAAGGAAACATTAAGTTCTGAGAAATAATTCCTGTAAAAGCAAAACAAAATGTAAAAAAAATGTAATAGGGGACAGGGTGGCTAATTCGTCTAAGATGCCGGATTAACTTGATTTGTTTGTTTGTTTGTTTGTTTGTTGTTTAGAAATCAGAAATAGTACAGCAATTGACGGCGGTCTGTAAATAATCAAGTCTGGACCAGACAATCCAGTGATTGATATCATGAGCATCGATCTACGCAATCGGGATACGATGACATGCATCAACCAAGTCAGCGAGCCTGACCACCCAATCCCCTTAGTCGCCTCTTACGCCAAGCATAGTCACCTTTTATGGCAAGCATGGGTTGCTGATGACCTTTTCTATCCCGGATCTTCACGAGTCGATTTACTTATGAAGATATATGGCATTTAAGGAACCTATTGTCATCAATTCCAGGATTTAACCTGATCATCATCCTCTTGATTGTCAGTACTATACCATTGCGCGTGGATTTTACAAAAAACGAAATACTTAAGCATTCCTTGTATAAAAATGGCAATACTTTCATATTGCTGACATATTTTACTGTGCAAAGTGGCGTCAACCCCAATTAATTCCTCTCCTCCGATTTCGAATTCGAATACACGTGGCTCGGCAACGTTATGCATACAGATAAAAACGCAATGTTATGTGAATAGATATATTAACCTCTTGAATGGCTGGCATTGCATTCTTAATTAAGGGCATAAACATAATAATCTAAACCTTTATATTTGACATTGGTCACTGAAATCGAACATCCCGCCTACTATAGATATTAAAATGAACTGATGCCACACTACCAATCACTGTCGGTATGACAAATGAGTCGGCGTTTCTTAATCACAGAATCGCAAACAGATAGGCCAGCTGTATGTTCGTTATAACGGTTTTCCATGTCGATGTAAACGGGTTCCAACGTTATTTACGTGTATTGAAAACAAATCGAATATAACTTTTGGACACTTATTTGGTCCAGTGAAAGATTTGACACCTACGAAACTTCAGGTGAACCCTGAGCAGACGTCAACCGCCACATCTAAGTGAATGGTGTGTGGGTTCAGAAGCCAATAGGATGCCAGGTTTATGAAACGATTTAGCTCCAATTCTTTACCACCGCGATTCGGAAATGTCGTTAAAGAGATAAGGTTCACACTGAACACAAATATTCCTTCGATCATGGTACTATTTCTGGGGTGTAGGTGCCATGGAGCTCACAGAAATGAACAATATAACCACAACAGGATAATGGCGCGGTCTTTAACTTCGTGTTTGAGAAATATAATATTCTGTTCTGGTCTTCGTTGGGAGAATTTGGAAGCCTCGTAGGTGATTACGTGTGTACCTTCCTCTCCCTTGGTACCGGATTTAATACTTTGCATCTGCTCCAGGATCTTGTCAAACTTCTCATCGGTTTCTTCTTGTCGGGATTTCACAGAAGCAAGGTCTGACTTGACCTCGGAAACTGGAAACACAGATTCCATGCAGCTTATCATATTATCCATAACAGGAAACAAATATTATTCAATGCTATATTCAACAGATGTGTTACCCGATAGTTGAATGTCTGTTGAGCCTGACCACTAGATCCAGTTAGTCGCCTCTTAGACAAGCATAGTCGGCCTACTAAGGATGCTTAATATGGTAAGGTGTTATTGCAACAAATGGGGCTCAGACGTTAACCTAGAGAAGTCATGCATGCATTGTTGGGGGCACGGGGGGCCCAGTCGTCTGAGGCGCCGCGATTCGCTGTGCAGAGTTGCGTCCCTCGGGCACGCCAGAAACCTATGATTGTGGGTTCGAATCCCGGTTCGCCCCGATTATGTTTCTAGGTTTGTCAGCACCATACCTGTGCTCGTGGGTTTCACCGAAGTGATAAACGTCTGAGACCTGCATCACTTCGGGCTTTCCTCCCACATCAAGCTGACACGCCGCGATATAACTGCATTGTTTTTAAATATGGTGGGTAGCTAGATGCGTCATGCATTGTTTTCAAATATGTTGGATACCTAGAGAGGTTATGCATTGTTTTCAAATATGGCGGATACCTTAGAAAAGGTACAGACAAATGGACTTATAATGGTTAATATATGAAAGTAGTATTTCACTTTAAAATATTGAAGTATTGCCTTGACATCCAGATGATGGCCACAAGCGTGTGAGCAGGAAAGGCCTCATTTGCCACGATTATTTTAAAGATTACTCATAGATTTCTCTCAAAGTAGGATACACACAATGCCATTTAGAAAGTGGTCAGATGAAACACATGTTATATTTGGGATAACACTTTCTGAGTAAAGTACAGATTCTCGTACTTGTTTTAGGTTGAGTCCCGTCCGGGATTCGAACCCACACTGCCAGAGTAAGAGACCTATGCCAGCACACAAAGGGGTACACAAAGTAAGTGATCTAAACTACCAGCTGCCTCAGTGTCTGAGTGGGTTAGATCGCTGACTTTGTGTGCAGGCAATTTTTATATTTATGTGATGCCACGGGACACACAGGTTAAAGTGGAGCTCGTCTTTAATAAACTAATTCTTAAACGAAACTTTTACAGAGGAATTAGTTTCACATTTATTGGTTTACAGAAGCTGTGTGGTGTTGTGTCACAAAAAGAGCTAAAATTAGGTAATATATTTAAAATTACAGATTACTCAGATCATACATGTATAGACGAGTAACAATGTTTGGTGTCATTGCCTTACAATTCTGAAACAGTGGTTCAATAAGCATTCTCGGTCAATGCTGGTCAATGTATATAATTACTTCACGATATTGTAAATCTATGTGCCCGCAACCTTTGGTAACAGATCATACAGCGTTGCTTCGTCATAATAACATTCCATTTGCATCTGCAAAGTTCACAATAATGCAAAATATTATTGACTATATACCACGCATTTATTTTTTTGTTCTGTATATATACGGAGGGATTGTTCGGAATGCGGTTAATAGTACAATCATTGCTGTCCGAGAGTAACGGGAAAAGGCGAGTATACACGAATGTAAGGGATTTGTTACCTTCTTTGTTAGAGTTGATTCCACCAGGTGAAGAGAATGAAGGCACAACGAAGCTTGAAGCTGGTCTTCCTATTTCAAACCCAGAAGCCACAGAAATGGCCCCAAGAATAAAAATACTCATCATTATTGCCAAATACCTCCGAAGTATGAAGTCAGGTCATGCGTTATCTCAAACTATATACGTGCAATACCGATCGTAATCTGAATATTTTTTCACACAACAACGTCGGTGTACAAAGAACTAATGCACTGAAAGACAATGTTATCCTTTTCTCTCGTGAGAAGTTTCACTTAAGAATGTGTGCTTAATTCTGAACACAATCAAAAGCAACACAAACGAAACACATTGTTGTTGAAGGGTTCAACCAAAACAGAACATACCGTTGTTTTTCATATTTAGCTCACCTTACTCATGTCCGTCTTTTTCGTCTGTTGACATCTTTCGACTCAGAAACGACTGGACCAATAAGACTGACATTAAAGTGCAGCGTCCTCAGATGGACAGTTTCATCTTTAAATCAAACAACGAATCTGGAAAATATTTTAGAGAATTGTCAAAATAGGAAAGTTTAAAAACGGAATATATGTATTCAGCCCAACGTTCTTGACATATGTCAAAAACGTTTCATGCTTCCAGATGAAGCAACTGATCATCCATACATTTTGGGAAATGAAATTTAAATGTATAGCTGACCAATAGGGCATCATCGTTTGTTCGTTGCAGTGGCTGATGGTGCAGCTAAACTGCACTTGACTCACCGACATGTCCACATGTTCATCCTTTACAGTGATATTTAAACCGAAATTAAACATCACTGTAAAGGATGCCATGCAATGAGGTGGGGCACCCATGTTGAGATGCTACAGATGGCGGCCTGTAAACAGACCAACAGTGACTGAAGTTATGAGCAATGACCTACGTCATCTACCCACTAGTTTGGTCTGTTGTTTTTTACGCCGCACTCAGCAATATTCCAGCTGTATGACAGCGGTCTGTAAATAGTCGAGTCTGGACCAGACAGTCCGGTGATTGACATCATGAACATCGATCCATGCAATTGGGATACGATGATATGCATCAACCAAGTCAGCGAGCCTGACCACCCTTCCTTATGATGACATATTTTGTTCAAGACATTTGATTTTATAGTGTTTTGGTTCAGTATTTATGCATACAATATTTGAATATCAACGCTAACACCTTTTTTGTCAAATATTTGTTTTGACATTTTATATAATTATTGACACTTCATCCAGGTGGTCTACAGTAGCAATAGCACTATTTGTCTGGGATTGTGTTATTCGTGACGTCAGTCGCTCACTGACTTCAAAGAATCTCTTTCTTTTATTATTAAAATACCCGTTCTGATTACTTTTTACATGCAATTGACACTGTGATGTATTCCATCAAATACCGTGTGAGATGTTATCAGACACTTTCCCATTGTTAAGAATCTTTTGAAATTAGCATGCAAAACAAATCAATTACACCTTTTATTCTAGGCGTTTGATTGCCATTCTAGTTGTTGGTGAGAAACTATCGAAAATGTTTTCATTTCTATTCAAATCACCAGATGGCCGCCATTCAAATAAGTTACAGCAGTATTGCAACTATTTCTCGGTGACCTGTACATATCCAAGTCTGGAATATTTGTAAAAAGAATACTAAAAAAATAATTGTTCACTAGAGTTGCGAAGCCTTCATTCAGAGAAAATTCTTACAACGTCAAAGCCCAAAGATAATTCGCATAACTACTGACATCTTATACATCGTATCTCAACATTTGTTACCAAGCTAGAAATTACAATTGACAAACTGTTTGAGTGAGTGAGTGAGTATGGTTTTACGCCGCTTTTAACAATATTCCAGCAATATCACGGCGGGGGACACCAGAAATGGGCTGCACACATTGTACCAATGTCGGGAATCGAACCCGGGTCTTCGGCGTGACGAGCGAACGCTTTAACCACCAGGCTACCCGACCGCCCCGACAAACTGTTTGAGGAATGAGTGGTGGTTAAATAGATATAATCAAATTTAACAACAGTTCTTTCAATTTTCAATTACATAAAAATACAATATCGGTATACTTTCATTTGCCCCTCAGTTTAGGTCAATTGTCGAGTGAGTGAGTGAATTGGGTATAACACCGCTTTTAACCCGTGCCCCAGCCAATTGACGAAGCATGCATACAACCAAATCTATTCATTAATAAACGCCTCCATGGTGTAGTGGAGATAACGTCTCCCCGGAGGGCAGAAGATTAGTGGTTCGATCCCCTGGCCGCACCGTACAAAAGTATGTTAACGAATGGTACGGTCGGCTCTGAGTCCCAATAAAATATCTGAGTCGGAAACCTATGCTAATCTGCGGCATGGTATCTCAGTAGGAATGCACTATAAAGGGGGCATAACTCCGGAATTGTACAATCAGGCAGATGCACATTCATGCGCGTGTACGAATACCTACATACACCCCGAAACACAAGTGTCACTCAGCGGATGGGTACCCGATGAGTGAGGTGGATGTAAAAACCCTTTAGCGACTGTAGGCAGCTTGGATTGTATACAGTCTCCAAGGAATTGAGAATGGTAACTATCCCCCGCACAACGGGAGTTGGCGGGGGATATAGAAACGGCTCCGTCCGTCCGTCCGTCCGTCACCGAACCATAACTCAGAAACGGTTAAATATCTTTTCAAGAAACTTTGCATGTCTGCCAGGTACATGCTGAACTGGTGCCTTTGGGTATTTAGAAATTTTAGAATTTCTTATTTTTTACGTTTCCATGGCAACAAGATGGACTTAGGTTCTGTGTGGGTAGGGTTCGTTTCCGGAGCATAACTCCTAAACCGTTAAATATTTTTTCAAGAAACTTTGCATGTCTGTCAGGTACATGCTGAACTGGTGCCTTTTGCTATTTAGAAAGTTTAGAATTTCTTATTTTTTACGTTTCCATGGCAACAAGATGGACTTAGGTTCTGTGTGGGTAGGGTTTGTTTCCGGAGCATAATTCATAAACCGTTCAATATTTTTTCATGAAACTTTGCCGGTCTGTCAGGTACATGCTGAACTGGTGCCTTTTACTATTTAATTGTTTTAGAAATTTATGCATTCTTCTTTTAAATGCCAAAAAATTCAACTTGATACCCATTTAACCTGTTTAAGGAATCTTATTAGTCATAATAAAGTTTTTTTGCGTGCCTACATTTTGTGTTTGTCATCATTTGGAGGTATCTCCCATAGTAGGGGAAACTGTGCATGCCTTCTACCAAGTTGTCAGTATGTGCCTCAATAATGGTTGAGGGTAACTTTCGTTTAATGACTTCATTACAAAAGCCACCATCCCTACTTCTGCATTGCTTATGACAGAGATGAGTGTGCGATAAGATGGCATGCTTCTCTATAAAAACTTGTTACAGTTTTCAGCACATGTTGATATGAAGACTTTTGTGCTGTAGAGTTTTAACATTCACATTTATAATATTGTCCTGTTTGTTTTTTCACTTTATCATATCACATGGAATGACCATATTGTTAAAAAGCCACAACATCATCATCATCTAGGAGACCTTTCCTCATTCACTTGCGAACTCTGCTGGAGCAGCTGCCTCTCAATAAGTTTAGGACTTCAATATGGACCAGTCTGTCCGTGACAACAATGCACTATCCAACCTCATGGAGCAGTTTGCATTCGCCCAGAATATCAGCAGACCAACCCACACCCTTGGGGCTACACTAGACCTGATCTTCTCTAATGAGCTCATCTCAACAGGAGTCTTTCCAGTTCCATACACTGACCATCATCTTGTGTGGGGTGTGACGGAATAGGTGTAGTGTATTGAAGTGACTATCATTATTTCTTAATATGTTAATCAATGTGGTAATGAACAGAACTTTTTGAATCTTAATATTTTGCATTTAATCTACTATGTCCAAAGCAACATCTTGGGTTTGAACTGGTAATAACCATAGTCACATATCACAAACTAATACCATTTATATTTTTAAACAAATATTCCATGTAGATATTATTACGTGTCACAATGTGACTTGTAATGTTTTTTTCTTTCTCCCACCCTTATAAATTCAGTAGTAAATGTAGTAACTGGTTTTGTCAGTTTGAACTTCCATCATGTTTTTGTGGTGAAGGTTTCATTTTTTTCTTGTACTTCATAAAAATTGTGTTTTGCAGCATTTTATTTTGTTTCTTCGGGATATTTTGCATTTATATCAAGTAGATGCTCCCCTGCTGCCTTTTACTCCTTACAAAAGTTTGAATATTTTCAAATGTATGTGTTTGTGTGATCAAATTTCACTATTGTTGACATAATATACACTTCATTTGCTGTGCAGGAGACTTGGCCACGTTAGTGGCAAACTCTTCTGTTTTTTACAATTTCCATGACAACAAGTTCCACCTCGGTTTAAAAAGGTTAGGGTTTGTTTAGATTTAATTATGTCATATATTCTGCAACAGGGGCGGGGGTATAGCCACGTTAGTGGCAAACTCTTGTTGGAATTTAATCGGTTCCACTTGTCAGGGTACAAATAAAAATAGCAAATTTGAGCAGATAATACCTGGAAACCTGCGGAATATAATAATAATAATAACAATACAGTAAACTACGGTTATAACGAACACGCTTATAACTAACTGACGGATATAACGAACTTACTTTTTGGTCCCGACTACTTGCTGTTGTCATGCTGTATATGTACTTATAACGAACTACGGTTATAACGAACTAAAATTAGTAGTCCCTTTGAGTTATAACCGTTATAACCGTAGTTTACTGTAATAATAATGATGATGCCCAGCTTTGGCACAGACACAGTATCTTAAGCGACATGATGGGGTGGCTCGATCATTTTATTACCGTCTTCGCCATGCTTGTGGTTTTGACACAGAGGTCCATCCATGGTACGACCCGGAATATGTAGAGGGCGTCATGGAAAATGATAAATACCAAAATCCTTTGGAATAGGCCCGTATACAGCCTCAGACATATCGCGACCAACAAAGCTGATCTTGTCCTTTTTGATAAATCCAATGAAATCATTTATATCATTGAACTTTCTGTTCCTTTTGACAAGATTGAGGAAAAACATGGCAAATATGCGGACCTCGCTTTCGAAATGTCACGCTTGCATCCCAAGTTCCAAGTTGTCCGACTCCCAATCGTTCATGAATCTGTCAGTGAATACACCATCAGTGCAACCTTACCAA